TAATTTAATTAAAAAAAATAAAATCACAAATTCTTCTGAGACTGCACTTGATGGAATTTGATTATTTCTTAATCACATATCCCTCAAATGGCATCTAACAAGGATTTTATGACACTGACCATCAATGTGGATTCACAAAATGCTTTGGAGGTTTCCTCACATATTTACCTCACCAACACCATCCATTTCATCGTTTTCATTCTGCGACTCAGACAGCAGCATTAATACAAAAGTCTTTTGTTGATCACGAAGTTCGTAAAGAATGGTAAACTTTTTGACAATTTGTCGTTGGGCTAACAGCCGCTTTGTCCCGGGATGACCTCTTCTGGTAAATCCTTCACAAGAAAAATAATTGGCCATGCACACAGTATTGCTAAGAGGTCATTTCATGGCTTTGGGATGGCCATTTTAAATGGTCCATTGGTACATCTCGGTCACTGTGCCTGCTTTCAAGTTCCCTCCCTGCATGTGGTCTTGTAATCTCAAGTCCCAGGTAGGCTGCTAATGAAGCAGCCTTGCATGCCAGGGTCCAACTTGCTACGAGCCACTGCACATAGTGTTGTCAGTGTTTCTGCTGTGGCATGTTCTCACCAGTGACACCTGGTTCTCTTAATCCGTCTTGCCGTTTTCCTGAGGTGTGCCAGCTTTGCTCCGGTGTGCTGATCGTAGGACCTTGTAACATCCACGGGCGATCTTATGCATCCACATTATGTTCATAATGTCCAAGCAGATGCTGGAGCAGATCCAGGCTACACGACCACCCCATGGCACCAGGTAGAAGGCCTCAGTGCCATAGACCGCATACATGCGACTGTAGTAGACTGGCATGACACCGATGCGGACGAGGAAAAACACCACTGCCATGGCAACGCCATTTGCCATGTTGGGCCGGGAGGACTTGGGATAACCCAACACCTCAAAGAACCAGCTGAAACAAAGCACATTTTTTCAGAAAACAATAACAGTATTCAATTCAATTTTAAAAGACAGTAAGTACCTTGCCACATTAAAGTTAAAAAAAAAGCAAAAAAACCTCAATCTCAAAGAACCATCTGAACACAAAACATGTAGACAGGAAATTACCATGAGTTCATTAAACTTTCTAGTAGAAGACCTTACGATAGGCAATCCAGACTTAATTTTTTTTAAATAAATTAACTAATCCATTAAGTTTAAGAACCAGTAATAATCATTTGGTTTACCAAAGATCTTAGGTAAACCCAGAGATGTTTTATCCTGTGCTCTAGCACGATAAATATCTGACTTTAAAGAACTCTTCTTAAGTAACTTTTTGGAAATATTTAGCAATCAGTAAGTGTGTGCGTGGTAACTATACCTTGGCCAGCAGGGTATAATTTCAATATTAGTCAAGTCTAAGCCATATGTGATCTTCTTTGTGCCAGAACTCAGGTTAAAAGGGCCTCAGTTACACAGGCCTACAGAATGGCCTACAGACTCCCCTCAGAATCTCCAGTCACTGGGGAAAAACCTTGTTGATTGTTGTGGGGGCCAGTGATTTGTCTAAAAGACACCAGCGCATCTGTGAACACTCACCATTTATTCTCCAAGCTGTAGTGTAGCTGTGAAACCTGCAACACAAACTGGAGCTCATTCACCTTCAGAGTAAAACTTTCAAATGTGCTTTACCCCTGTAACTGGCACAACAGCTTATGTTGCTCTTTTTCAGTTCTCACTACAGCTTAGCAAGTAGTTTCCAAGTGTTTGCAGACAAGTAGGTATCTACCATCCAAACTACTGGCAGCCACGACAACCTGCTAGCAACTAAAGCAATTGAAAAGTGGTTTTCAGTGCAGCGTCACACATCTCTTGGTGACCAATAACACTTTAGCGACTGCTAGAAACCTCCAGAAACCACTTGAGGAATCTGCATTTTTATTTGACAACTGGTGGTTGACTTGCATGACTGGGGCCTTAAACTGAGTTTTCTGTCAACAGGTGGAGATTTGAGCGCCTAAACACACACACAGTCATCCATATGATAATCCTAAATATAGGCTGAAGGAAGACGCAAAAGTAGAAAAGGTAGGATATTCTTAACTGTGGCTGTCACCTGAAATGCATTCCACTTGCTAATGACCAAGGTAAATATATAAAAAAAAAAGACCTAAAGATACCTGAAAAACAGGTCATAAGCAAGCTAGTACATACCGCTGGTTTACACACGGTGTAGAAAACTCAGCTAGCAGGCGGAAGTTAGCAAAATAAGGCAACATTCCTTGGCCCTGGAAAAACAAAATGAGGACAGGAAGACAACAAGACATGAGAGGAACAACAACAATTCCACTGAAGAATGATGGGCATGATGCTAGTGCACCACCGGGTCAATACAAACACCATTTCTTACCAAGACTGAGACATCAGCAGTTATATGTATTAAAACAAAGATTTAAAGAAACCACAGCCTTAACCATGTGCAACTATGTTTAATATTGTCCTAAGTAGTTCAAGGTGTTGTCCCAAAAAGACAGTCGTCTCCTTCAGAGCAGAAGGGTATTCCTTTATTTTTGCAGTCCAAAAATTACACTGTCACCTGAGTCTATTTCACAGAGGAGTCCTTCCTTATTGTAAAAAGAAACTCGTCATAAAGAGATAATAAAGAATGATTGTACAAAATAACAATCTTCTGTTATTTTGCAGTGCAAATGGATTAAAGTTACAGTGGTCAATTATTTCTTTGGAATTAAAATTGAGAAAAAAAAAAAAAAAGAGAGAGAGAAGACTCCCTCAATCTGGGCAGTTACTCTGAGCAAAATCAGATTATATAGATCATCCACAAAAAATTAGTTTAGTTTCTGTTAAGACAAAAATATTTTAATTTGGAACAATGTCTTTATTATCAGGTAATCCTTAAAACCCAAAACAATGGGCGATATATAGAAATGCCCACACAAAATGTAGCATTTTTGCATTATCTGAGTCACCAACACAACAATCATTAAAAAAACAAAACAAAAAAGCATTGTAGCATAAAAGGCCGTTCATCTAAATAACAACAACAATTAAAAAGAGCACATATCAGAAACAGGACTTGATATATATACACTGTACAACTATAAAAACATTCAGCCAGCCACTATTTCAAGGAGCAATCAGAAGCCATGCAGAGTATAAAGCAATACATTTGACTGCCAAACATGTCATTACAGGATTAGGTGCTGAATTCTACTATTTTGTGAAACGGATGATCTGCAGCAGGTTTCAACTGCTACAGTAGTTGAAACCTGCTGCATCAATATAATCATTGGGAAAGTTAGAGGCAATAATAAGGGAAAGATTCAAATAAATGTGATTCATGATTGAGAAAGTGCATTAATTAGAATGAAGTGTAATGATCTCAATCTCGATTTCTGCTGCAATAAGACTGTTTGACTCAGCACTTTGAAAACTATTTTTTTTGTTCCCGACTGCTGGCTACAAACTCAGCACAGAACACAGCTCAAATTAAGGATGCAGAATTCAAAGTTATTTGGCCAGCAGCCTAACTTTTACAGAAAAGACTTACCGTCAGGGCTGTAACAAAAGTTGGTCAAAGAAACATACTTACTGTGTGATACAAACAGTTTACAATTACAAGAAAAGGTTTGTAAACCCTTAGGAATTCAACAATAATTACTCATAAAAATGTGGTTTGATCTTAATCCAAGTCACACTTAACAAAAACAGTTTGACTAAACTAATAACACAACCTATAAACTGATTCTGAATAATAACTCAGGTCCAGTCCAAAAGTAACTAAATTTAGTGTCTCCTAGAACCTCCGTTGGCAGCAGCCATCTTTATCAAAGGTTTCCTGTAGCATGATAATGAAGCTTTCTAATCGATTACCAATTTTCTTCCATTTATCCAATTTAGGGTCATGGGGCCTGGAGCCTATTCCTGGTGTCAAAAGGTGAGAGGTGGAGTACAACCTGTACAGGTTGCCAGTCTACCACAAGAATAAACAGAGAGAGGCAACCATTCACATCAATGACCAGTTGCCAATTAACCTAACAAGCATGTCTTAGGCCTGGGGAGAGGTCGGAATACCCAGAGAGAACTCAGGAAGGCACAGGGAGAACATGCAAACTCCAAACTGAAAGGTCTCTGCAGTACAGTGGTTATGAACCCAGCGCCGCCTTCCTGTTAAAAGTCAGTCTGACTTGGTCATTCCAAAGCTTGAACATAATGAACAATGACTGCAATGTCCAGTCACATGGTAAAGAAGCCACAACTCAAAACTAGAGCTTTCGGATAAGCACTTTTATCACCATATCCAATGAGTTACTGTTCAATAAAGCTGTGAAAAGCATAGCTGTTTCTTTATTAGTTTAGTCATATTGTGTTTGCCTACAATTGTGACTTGGATGAATATCACACCACATTTATGAGAAATCAATGTAAAATTCCTAGAAATCCTTCACAGATTCATAAACCTTTTCTTGTAACTGTATATTCCCATCTAGCACTAGCATGCTAGTACCTCTAGGAACTGGTAAGTCCATACTGTGACTGGGCATCATAGCTGCTCAGTACAACACAAGAGCAATAACAGCAGACAAGACAGGAATAAAAAAAGTCCCCATCTAGATGAAGACCTGCTCTGGGTTTCTAAATGACAACTTTTTGGTAGTTTTTGCATGAACGGAGATGACACAACCCAACTTCACCTTGGTAGTTTTTGCATGTAAGGTTTGAAGAGGGGCCATTTATGTTAAAGTCAGCAAAGGACAGACAGACAGACAGATATATTAGAAGGAAACAAAAAAATACGATGCCACAACACAAAGCAAAGAAGAAGCAACACTTACAACACTGAGAAAAACAAAAGCATGCATCCAATATTTTTGAGAAGCTACGCTTAACTTTTAAATAAGCACAAAAGGCTGCCACACAAAATAATTAAATTACTTGAGCAATATTTGTGATTGGCTACTTAATAGAAAAGCATAACAAAAAAAAATTACATTTTGCATTTTTTTACTAATATTTCTCAATAGGAGTCAGTTTAGCTAGAGCTATGTGCCTTGTGTAATGTTTTTTGTTTCATTGGAGTGCAATGGTTCTGAAAACAATCCACAACCTTGTTGGCCCATGATGCCCTATCCATTGCCCCCACTGTTGAACTTCATTATGTTACAAATGGAGACAGTGATAGGATATTTTAATAAAAGGTAAGGTTCAAGTAGCAACAGAGAAAGTTAATGCAATGATATTATTAAGATTACGTGACAGCCATGGCAGATCTGAAGGCATTGCTACACTAGCTTCATCTAACTTTGGGGACATTTCGGGTGTGTTAGCAAAGCGTTGTGGTGAAATAGCTCAACTGTAAAAGCATTTTTAGAGTGCTTATTTAGTGTAAAATGCATGTGTTTGAATGCAGGCTAAGAAATATAGGTTGAGAAAGAGTTTCGGTAATGTGTATGTGCAATGATATGCTAATTAGCCATGTGCTCATGTTGCATAAGCTAGTTAGCATGTGCAGCAGTTATCTCTCAGTCATCCTACAAAGTATGAACTGTGGAACAGTGGATTTAGAGTTTTGACATAAACAGTTCCACATAAACACATTCAACACATTTAACTAATAAGACTTTGACAACATATGACAAATCTGGGTGGGAACAAAACTAAATAAAATGAAAATGACATCAAAGGTTAGCCAACTTTTTGGGGGTGATTACAACTAATTTATTACGGCTACATTCATGCTGCTGTTCCATGTGCATTTCAGATCTAGTCTGAGAAAAAAAAGTCATGAGTGTCCAGTAACAGTATGGCCTACTTCATCTCATTTACCGAACTGTTTTAGATACAGTCGTTCCGTTTCTACAGATACGACTAGATTTACAGTCAGTGTTAAGTCAGAATCTTAAACCAACCATATGACACCATTTTACTGCCATTACTAACACAATTATTGTTCAGATACAGAAACACTGAAAGGTAATATTTCTCATTAGCAATGCTAAAAGATGGAAAAAGTAAATAAAATGTCTGTCAGATTAAAAAGAGAAAAGATAATCCGTAAATCCAGCCGCGACTAAAATAGACAAGAGCAGGGAGTGAGACGTAAATATGTAGAGTGTAAGCTTTACACTACATCTATTAGTGCCAAGTAATTAAAAACATCTTTTTAGATTTAAAAAAAAAAAAAAAAAAAAAGCAGCTTGATTAATTGGGGGCTACTATCAGAGTGATGCAAATTCCATGCCTTTCTGCATTTTTGCTCAATATAGAGAACTGAGAGCATTTATTTACTGTAACTGTAAAATAAAGTTCATGTAAGACTTTTTGGAGCACTAGTTCATTTTTATCCCCCAGACTCCTAGAGTAGACCCTTGAGAATACATTCAGCATGGTATTTGAAAAACGGGCCTATCTATTATGCAATGGACTTTATCATCTTGGCATGGTAAGAGAGGAGCCAGGACTAGGCTCTGGCACAAAAGACAGACAAGCAGAAGCCAAGGTACTGTAGATAGGCAGGTAAGTAATTAAGAATGGTAAATACTTTGTTTTCATGCACAGTAACAGGACAGAAATCTCTGCCTGTGTAGAGCGCGTCAAAGCTATGAGCATGCACACAGTGGTTACAGTTGAGCATTCAGTTGTGCTAAGCTCAGAAAAGTTTAGCTTACACCAGAGTCACACAACATTTAAAGGGGGGGTCAGTAAAACAAAAAGCACAGAAACTGTAAGGGCAAGGTGAGGGGGGAGGGGGGCAGGGAGAGGGTCATCAGCCAGTACCGTCACTGAGCATTCCATGCAAAAAATACCATAGTCATTCATTTCCCGTAATTATGCGACAGATCCTGGCAACCTAGAGGGTTTCAGATTGAACCAAGAGTGAACAGTGCCACCTACAAATGCTGGATAGAGTCGCCATTGGCACACCAAAGTGTATGGCAGCAATGCAGCATACACAAGTTTTTATCTTTAATTGAATTTTCTTTTTTTAAATACAATGAGCACCACTGATACAAGATCCAGCTTGCACAACAAACAGCTGATTTATTGTTTTATAAGGTACATCATGGCCAAACGGAAACGTCAAACTGAACTAAATCCCATCAAGACTATTACTGTTTTTCCTACAATTTTCACAACACTATTCAAGGTGTTAATGTGCCAATCAGCCATTTTCAGGAAAGGCATCAACCACCAAAGAACAGTTATCTTATTACTCGCACACTTGAATAATGCCAAAACTGAATGTTCTGCTATGGAAAAATAAAGAAACTAATACTGCTACTTACTAACTGATAAGAATGCTTTACTTTCTCTAGCACTTTTTCCCTTGCAATAAAATAAATAAAGACAGAGCTGAAGCTTTAACTATCTGAGAACTTATCTGATGTGTTTGCATGGGATTGATGTATCTCTTACACAGACCAAACTGGCTCTCCCTCGTACATATTAAGCTCACCTATGACTATACATGGCTATGTATCACACCCAGCTGAAAAAGGACATAGCTGTTCACCCTTGGTTGTCTCTTTCCCATCTTGCCTGCACGTTCTGCTATTGGGCAATAGGGCACTCACCAGTACATAGTAGTAAGCATACAACGCTGCCAGATGATGAACTACAAAAAACTTGTCGCCTATTGCCTTCCAATAATAAAATATCAGCAGCAAATCTGGAAAACAGAAGAAGAGGGCAAAGAGGGACAGCATGTCATTGGTGTAATCAAGGCAATCTAAGTGCATACAGAACTATTTGAAAACAGCAGCTGGCACAGTACGGCTGAACCACAAATGTGTCATCAAGCATCAAAGTTTATCGCAAATTTATTATGTGCATGTTCTTTTTCACTCACTTTAACAAAATTATGCTGACAAACTGAAAGCTTTCTCTTACCCGATATGAGGTAGCCTGTTGTAATTGCAACGTTTGTCTTGACCAGTGTAGGATCTCCCCTATTGAAAAAATAAGAAATTAATTTGTACTGTGTGTGACTTACGCTTGATAAAATAGATTCTGACACAAGATGCGCAAAAGAATGAGTCTACATTAAAGTGTGTGTGTGTGTACACATGTTGGGTGCAGTATTGTGAGGCAGAATTCACACTTTAGCCTCAGTCACATTGAAAAAAAGGAGAGAGGGGGGGAAAAAAACAAACAAACAAAAAAAAAAAAAACCCAACATGTCCAGAGGTTAAATGTACAATATCTTCGAAACCACTGAGCAACAACACGTGATTGCAAGGCAACTGCACAGGTTGCATGATAGCAACCTGTCTCCAAATTTGGACTGAGGTTAGCTCTGATTTAGGCTACTTGTCTAGCTGTTGATTTTAGCATAGCATATGTACATTGTAATACATAACGCTAATAATTCTTTGTAATTTTTTAAATGGTATAATTGACTTTACAAACACATGGAGATTCCGAATTTCTAACTAATTTATGGTATTAAAAAAAGAGAACAAAAAAGAACAAGTAGATGTTAGCAACTCAAGCTAGCTAGCAAGTTAATGCTACCAGTAACTTCTATAAAAACAAAAACTGCAAGAAATTTAAAAAAAAAAAAAAAAAAGAGTTCCAGGTGAATGTACAGTTATAGTTACAAGTTATCTCAATATACTATAGCTACCAATGTTTCACTTTTACAAAGGAAAAGAAGACTGTCCTTTTACAAACCTAACACTAGCTTAAGCTATACACAGACTTGGCTTCCAACACTAAAGAGTAATTCCAGTCCAATAAAGAGCAGGGCAGGGTTACTAATAGTATAACTGATATAGATAAAACCTCAGATAAATAAGTTTTACACATTTAGCACAAAGACTGTAGTAGGTAGGTAATCGCCTGATTAGCCAAATATTGTAACCATTATAACTTAAAACAATTATGCTCACTATTTGATATTGACACAAACCAGAAGCTGTCTCCCTTGCACACCTCTTCAGTATTTGGAAATTAAATTTAAAGCCTGAAAGGCATCTTTAACTACGCAAAGGGGACATTAATGCAGAAAAACATAACCTTCATTATGAAATAAACCAAAACTTTTGAGAAAAAAAAAATTAACTTCCAAGCCAAAACTCTTACCAAACTGGATCTTCATTGACAGCATCATCAAAAAACAGAATGTAAAGACAGAATATTCCCACCAACAAGGCGTGAAACGTTGATACTGTCCTGAAATAAAAAAAGAGAAAAAACATACAGCCTTGATTATCTGCTCATCCCTGAAAAGGGCAGATGATGACACAGTAATGGATAATATACTTTCTATTCATTAAAAATCCCTTGAAGCTGGTCTGTACTTCAGACAGAGGAATTTTTAGTACTCACCGTGGATCAACTGATTGCCTGTCACGACTGCACACAGATTCAGACCAATTAAACTAAGAGATTAAACACTGCTGAAGGGTCAGACAGAGCGCCGCACAGTCCCATTCAATCACTCAAACAGTGAGACAGTCCACGGCCCTCAGCAGTCAGACAGACCCTGACAGCCCCACTGTATAAATACAATACTGTGAAGTCATGGACTTTAAGAGGGATCCCTGAATTCCCAGCTTGTATCCCTTTCCAGTAATAATTCATTTTGATTTCCACTTTAAAATCACGTAGCCATTCTGCTTTCACAAGTGCTCTCATGGATAATGAACTCAGCAAAAACAGGACATGTAAGAGCAAGATTCATGGAAGCTGTACCAGGCTAGTTTAGTCTGATCATTCGGAATACCAATCTAGTTAATCTCCCCCATGTTGCTGGAACCTTACACAATAGCTGTAGAGAAAATATCGCAATGAATCCTACATGTGAGTCTTCTCTGAATGCCACTGTAAATATGTGGGTTTAATGTTAGTAGACATGTTTGGACAGAGCTAAAACAAATCATCCTCTGTTAAACATAGAACAGTGTCACACTCCATGCAGCCCAGTGGAAGTAAATACTCATGACCAAGTGAGAGTAAGAGTTCGGTCACCTCGAGTTCCATTCCACCTTCTGCTTGTCGCTGAGGCCAAGGAAGCCAGGACTGATGCGTACAGACAACCAGGGGCTGACTCTGTGGAAGAGCCACTGGAAGGTGAAGAAGCTGGTCACCGAGATGACGAGAATAAGCTGGTTGAAAGGGTCCATGGCCACCCAACCTTACTGCAAGAGAGAGTGAAGGGCAATGGTTAGACAATATGAACAGTTAGCAAAGTTATTTTTTAAACAACATTAACCTGAGAAAAAAAAAAAAAAAAGGAGAGAGAGTATGCAATGAAATGTTGCACCAGTATTGACCATGTAAATACACCATCACTTGAAGTACCGAAAACATGCCTACCTGAAAATCCACAACTAAATACATCAAATCAAACCTGTCAGTAAGGCCCACAGGTCTTAAACAGAAAAGGTGTCTTAAACCTTGAGGAACAAGAGAGAAATGACCATGTAGCCACGTTTTTGACTCCATCTACTTACTAATTCTCAACTGCAAACCTCTTAAGTATAAGTAGTCATCAAATCCGTTTCATCTACCTTTTCAAATCTTCAGAGCTTGCACTGAAATCTGAATGATTAATGTGAATTTCTGAATGGCAGCCCAATGTGTAACGACACAGGAACCGCTTCAGGCAGAAGCAGAAACTTTGGGTAGAAGGCAAAAATATAAAGACTTCCTGTGTGCGCGCTGACATCAGACTTTGTGGTTTCAGCACATCCGTATAAAGCCCAACACACTTTCTTTTCCCTCAAGTTCTACATTACAGATGTATATCTATTGTAAGGCTTTTAAAATAAGCAGTGACAGAGAATTGGAAAAACACAATTTAATTGGCTTTTAACCGACCCCTGACTTAAATCGCCCCTATTTGGAGGGCAGGGATAAGGAGTCATAAAAGTCATTTACATACTATCCAACTTTATGCTGCCATATAGATGACATGCAAAGTGCCATACCCGACACAATGCATTCCATCAAAATTCCCCTCATTATTTCTAGCATCTTTTTCCGCGAGCTGCACATTGCAAAGCAGTTACACTGAAGCATTTGCACAATTGCATGACATGCATGCATTTTCATCTACACTACCTGGATTTGCTTTCATTTTTCACATTACAACGGATCAATCAAGTACCTGATATATTTGCAGAATCAACAACGCTGTTTGAATTAAAATCCTATCAGTAGTCGTTTCTAGCTAAGACGTTTATGATGAGTATCTAGAACTTCCTTTTCTGGACCTGTTTGTCCAGTTTGAACTCTGTAGGTTGGATTGAAAATTATCCTTGGATGTTTTTTGTATTTTAATTTAACCCCCCAGCCTTGACAAATGTCTCTCCACCAGCATCAACAACAGTAGCACAATTTCTGCAACTGGATCTATGAACCCATTAAGGATTTCATAATAGAACATGTGGTAATGGCTGCAACAAAAGTATAACAGTGACTACAGATGGCCTGATGTGAAAGGGAAAGGACTGTGTGCACTGACGAAAAACAGACACAGCCCGTTGTTTATTCACAGATCGGCGAATAAATGACAAGCTTGAAATCAAGTATTCAAAACGCTCTGATAGATATAGTTGCTGCTGAATATTCTTTCCCTAAAGCTGGCCTCATTCTCTGGGAGATGAATCTGTGAATGTCACTGAATCACTCACACTCACATTATGAATAATCACCTCTACACAGGGAGGAAGCGGGACATGTCCAGAGGCAAGTGCTTTGTGTGGGATGTAGGTCTCAGAAGCACTTTCAAATACAGCATATTCATTCTCCAGCAATAACAGTACGTGGCTTAAACGTTACAGCTCTATGGAAGTGTTTCAACAAGCAATGAAATGTTGCACCATATACTTATGTAGCCAGAAAACTAGGATACTGATTGATAATATTTTTTGAAATTATAAAAGAGATTATCAGCATGCTCACAATTCATCCACAAGGGGACACTGTCAATGAAATATTTCTTAGCAATGTAAAGCCTAGCAGCTCACAAAGGTCAGTGTATTGGGCAGATTGTGTGTCACGCCACTGGATACGTGCAAACTTTGACCTGCTTGTAGGACCAAAGGGAAATTCAAAGAATGACCAATAAAATGTATCCATGAACTGTTCGAGCAAGAGTGACAACACATGATGCAAGTGATTCTATAGTTGTCAGACAATTATATCACCAGCGCTTCACATCAATATAATTTCCCTGCGCTGTGCAGAAGAAAACTGTAAAGAAAGAAAAATGAAGGGTCACGCTCTAATTAAATCCTATGACACCCATATATATCAATGTTTAAAATACCCGCTGTTCTTTTTAAACACACAAATAAAACACAAGAAAACATTAAAATACTATATTTGGTTCCAAGACATTTCAAATCAGACTTAAAGCAAGGCCAAACTTGACAATAAGTCTTCGTTTCAGCAGCTCACTTATTCTACACTGACCATGGCACAGCTCTACAGCATATGATGCAATTTTCCTCACGGGATCAGTATGCTGCAACCTACCACTCTGCAAGTCCAACTGCTACTTCCCCACTTCAGCATACGCTTCAAGGCCCCTTCAGCTCACATAGGTAACTACCCAAGCAGGCAACTCTTACGCCCTCCACCAGCATGCGCTTGTGATCTTATCAAACCCCACACAGGCTCTGTGTATTCTGGCCATCTCTTTCTCCATGAAAACTGAAACCCACGTCAACATGTCTGCTTTCTTCAAAAACCTCTGACATCATGTAACCTGCTTTATGGGGCCAATCAGAAGGGCTTCCTGGAATCAATGCTACTTTGACCCACATAGTGCCAATGAAACATTACAACTCACCTACAACTTTTTAAAGGGGAAGTTTACTCCCTTATTTTGGAAAGGAGGTCAGGGAATTCAAAAACAACAACTTCACAGAAGAATGAAATAAATGTCAGCGAGTCCAGACCACTGAACTGCTTTATGTTAGATTTAAGATATTTGCATAAGGCCAGTGCCAGTCGTTGGTAAGAAGCAAAGTCAGTTACATTTGAAAGGCATATTTGCATCCCCCAAGCAACAAAACAGAGCATCTCCCAGTACAAGCACGCAAAACACATATCTCAGTCCCAGGAGCTCTGGCCTTGGTGATTACATACCTGCATTTGTTTCTGCGTCACGTCAAAGAAATGTTTGAGGGCAAATGGTGTGCTTCACTAAAGCACTATAGTAAAAGTGGGGAAAAAAAAAAATCACAAGGGAACTTAAAGGCCCAAACCAGAATTCTCTCCTTTAGGTAGAAGGTAGAAAGACTTTTGTTGCTAAAGGGACGCTTGAAGAGCCAACATAGTGATGATGGCCCCAGAGATATTTAAGTAAAGCTAATCCCTGTACTTCCTACAGGGAGTGAGGATTATTTTTGGTATACACATGCATGTTTGTGCCCTACCCATGTCACACAGGGTCTTGCTGCCAAGGCAAACGGTTACACATATAAATGAGAGTGAAGCAAAAAGAATGCTGTGCAAATTAAGGACCGCACAAAGCACCAATAAAGCTACTATTTTTTAAGCAACAAATGTTTCCTTTGCAATTACAGCACAACAGAAACACTGGTGTATAGATTATGTCAACTTGAGGTTGAACCTGGAAGGTGATCTGTGTCTCCAGCTGAAACTGGCGATGCTGCCATTAATGCGCTGTTGATAAAATGGTGATAAAAGATCTACACCAAGTGTTGAAAATATAACAGATATGCAACACTGTTGAAAATAAGATGAGAGATTAGTGCTGCAGAAATTCATTAATCTGGTGCTTTAGCCCACAGGGCAGTAAAATAAATATTTTAATTTGAGTTCATTATTTTAATGCCGAGTGCGCTCTCAATGCTGCTGTGTATTTCTAACATGACTGATACACATTAAAGCTCTGAAACTTTAAACTGGATACATATAAACATTAAGTGTTACTGTCCCACAGCCTGACAGGAGACGTGGAGATGGCTTTAGTTTGTTGGGAAATCAAAAGTGAAAATGATTTTACTCAGTGAGATTCTTGGCATGTTTTCTGTTTTCTAGTAGCTGCAATCCCAGAAGAGTGAAAGAGATCAGCAGCAAATTGGCAACAAGTATAGACATCTATACACTTCCTGCACCACCAGATTAAAACACTGGATGTTTACGGATTGGTGGTTTTAGTTACACATATAAAATGCATTCCTCCAGCAGAGAATCTATAATACGCTTCAAAAAGAAGAAGCAGTGAAAACGTGGCGCTCCCGGCGGATTTTAAACAGATTAGTTACCATGGTGGTTATCATAAGTTACCATGGTGACTTAGCCAAGTAAAATGACAGCCACTTTCGTGACAGAGAAAACTGACTTTAAGCTCGACATAGCCCGATAACCCACTGATCTCGCTTCACTACGGGAACCTCTGGAAATGTGGCTTGAATCACTTAAGCAAATTAAGCCTTCTGCAGCTCCAGAGCTATTTATTCCTTATTTAATGTTCTGTGCTGCCAGCAGCTTGGACAGAAAACACCAAATCGGGGCCCGCCTTCAAACTGAGTCTTGCCTAGAATTTCTGGGAAATGAAAGACACAAAACCGGAACAGGTTTCTTCCTGGAACACAGCTATGACAGTCCATACGTTCCTATAAAGACTGGCGTATGCGCTTGCGTAACACGGCTGAACCTCTTTTTTTTTTTTTAAAGAGGAAAAAAAAGAAAAGAAAGCGACGAACCAATGGCACCACGAAAATAACCTGGGTAGTGCTGCATCGCCGCAGGATCGTCTGCTAAACATACAGTGCATGATCAAATGCCCGAAGCAAAGATGATTTTGACCAGATCTTCATTTCCTTTCAAACAAAGACGCGGGTATAAATAACACCACTCACAAGGCCAGTTTACGCCGCACTGACTGCATGCCTGCTTGCCTGGCCAGCTGCTGTAGCGTATGGAAAAGAAATGGCAGTGGCCTAGCCGTGTCATCGTATTGTAGCCTCGTATTTGACAGCAGACAAAATCATCCCAAACGGACCTACCTTATGACGTTCATTAAGATATCTGGCGTCTCCCCCTCTCTCAGCTCGTTATGGTTTCTGGACTCGCCTCCATAAGCGCTGAGCAAACGGCACAGCCGTGTCGAATCATTTTCTTGATAAACAGGACAGACCGCCTCCTGCTCCGCGCACACACTAGCTATTTGTGGGGGATGCGAAGGGGCTGGAGCTCTGTGCCTGTGCTGTGTTTACCGAGAATTCCCACCGACACCAAACGCGCATAATGCAGAGGTGCAGATCGTGCAGCTCGACGCTCGATTACAGAAATGATGGAGGGGGCGGTGTTGGTGAGCGACTTCTCTAACCAGCTCCCTCTCCCCGTCTCTCTCTATATTTCTCCCTCGTTCCTATAGGGCTCAAATTGCAGCTGAATTCTTAAAGAAACACACATGCTCACTAACCACCACAGTAGTCTGTCCAGAAACACTCACTGGATCTATTTATAGCCCGGGTTCGTTGAACTGATACAGACAAGATAACCAGCAAAGCATGGCCTGCTGGTCTTTACTGGCTGCAGAGCTTCCGTATCGAATAATCTGAGCGTGCCATGGGAGTATTTGTCATAAATTACTGCAGATTAAAATCACAGCAGATAATTAGATAATGCACTGCAATTCACCATCTTACTCAAGTCACTCATGCCTGCAGATGCCAGCTATACGCCCATAAACAGAGGGGCCGATGACAGCTAAAATGGCCCGTGATTGCAAGGGTAAGCTGAACGAGGAAGTCTGGCTGTCTGCAGCCTAGAATCTAGATCGCTGCGAGCTGATTTGCAGATCAAATGGTCTAAGGCAGAGATCTCGAGAGCTACTGTCCTGCAGAGTTTAGATGCATCCCCAGTCCAACACAGCTGAATCAAGTGGTTGAATTATCTCTCCAGCGTGCCATCAGGTTTGGCAAAGGCCAGGTTACACGCCATTCATTTGATTCAGGTGTTTCGAAACGAGGATGCATCTAAAAGCTGCAGGACAGTAACTCTCCTCTCGAGTACTGGAGTTGAAGACCCCTGGTCTAAGGTGTCACTGTTATATGCACTGCAACATTACACCAGATAAGAATTGGGCTTTCCACATGTCATCGATTTGAACATACACCTCTTAAAGTCATCAGTCCTACCGAAAGGCATTTAAAAGCCGATTAAGCGAAGGTTTACAGAGGTTTCCGGTTACAGCACGTTTAACAGGATCGTCAAGCATCTGTGTGTGGGCAGAGAGTACAAATCCATCGCTAATGTAAAGGTATTTCTTGGCTCTTGTTTGTCAAGGGCTGCCATGTTGGATCTCCAGGCTATGATAAACCCCCATTTTAATAACCTGATCAGGAACAGTTATTAAAAGACACGTTGTACAATGATTAACCTGCCGAGTTTAGCTCGTAAAAGTTTGGTCTGTACCGACAGCGGAAGCCTTGTCGAGAAGGAGCCGATGACCGGGCTTTGTGTGGTGCACCTGTGCAATGAGGACAGGTGGAACACCGCCTTTGGACCAAACACTCAAAGCTGCTCAGTTAGGAGGTATAAATAGGGCACTAACTAAAGCTAGATACTGCTAGTTAAAATATTTTAAGATTTTAGTGCAGGACTCAAAGAAGTGTGAGATAGTCTGACACATTTTTACCATCTACAAAGTGACTCCTTTCACAGCCGCATTGGCTCATGGGTAGGCTGTGCAGTACACCTTAACCCTTAACCCTTTATTGACCGGCCCTTCAAATTTACCTGTAAAATGGGCCTGCCGGTGGGCCCATGGTCAATAAATAGATAAAAGTACACACGGCACCCAGATTTCATTGGCTGCCTGATCTGAAATCACAAATATATGATGATAGTCTATATGTGTAACAGTTTTGCGATCAATAGATATTACAGGTTGTTGTTGCAATGAATGACATTTCAATAATGCAGTCTGGTAAGGCCTCGCCTCTTCCTGCAGGTGCACAGGGAAACATAGTTACGATTAGTTAAGGCAGGGGTCGGCAACCCTAGGCACGCGTGCCACAGTTGGCACGCGAAGGGTTAACTGATGGCACGACCATAGCAGGACTGGCCATCGGGCATACCGGGCATGTGACTTTTTTTTGTAACGGTACAAACAATGGAAGGTGGTGGATTGGCCAGATGCTGGTCGGTGTGTAAAAATAACTCAGTTGTTTGGTGATGGCTGTGGCGGTGCTTCCTCAGATTCAGTAACATTAGCAAGTGGTGGAGGCCAGCAGGTGGATGAGAGAAAGGGGAGGCAGGAGGAGAGCCCCGAGGCAGTCTGAGTGTCAGGTGAACTGAACTTCAGGTAAGAAGTTATGACCTGCAGTCTATCTGGGTCAGATAAAAACCAAGTTTAGGTGGAGTTTATTTTTGTTGTGCTGACTTTTTACAGTCAGTTACAATAACTCGTACTGTGTACTAGCTAGCATGATGGAGTTTCTATACAGCTGGGCAGGTGCTATGATGTTACTGACTTCAAGTGACGAAACGTTTCTCCCAGAAAACGCTACATCCAAATGAACAGAATCAATTTTTGGAGATTTATTTTCCTGGATGATTGAGAATGCATCAAGATAGTGAACTTTATTTAATTCATAAGGTTAGTTAGTAGAGTTGCCAAACCGTCCCTTCAGCTAGGATGGAAAAAGACACAAAGCTGGAGTTATTCTGTCGTTACGCTGCACAGCTGCCTCTTCTTCTCTCATTCTCTCCCCCCTCCCTCTCCTGTTGCTACTTCAATCATGAAACTGATCAATGATCAGCTGATCGGCTTTTCTTTCTTGTTTGTTTATCGCCCCAATTTGCTCCAGAAAGAGGAAATCAGCGGATGTCGCGCTAAACAACAGCAGCATGTTTAAGCTTGATCAGCTGTTGTTAGAATTTATTTAATATTACTTTCTAGTAGTTGATGTTTGCTGGAGCTACAGCTGTAAAAGCTGCTGGTCATGATGTCGGTTTGTATATCTGGTGAGAGGGAAACATGAAGATGAAACCAGGAGATGTCCTTATTGAATCATCAGAGCTGAACAGGTGATGGAGAAACAGGTTTACCGTTTAGGTGACATGAATGTCACCTAAAGGGTAAAAAGTTGAAGGGAAGTTACAGCTGGCTGACAACCTTAACACTTTCTACTGCAGATTTGAAAGACAACCATTCACACCTCCCATCCGCTCACCCACATTAAAAGACTACCTGCAGCCCTCACCCCTTCCCTCTGACCTGGGACAAATTCCAGGACACTGTTTGTCAACTTCAGCTTGCCCTTCAATGCCGTAATCCCAGACATCTTCCACCGGAAGCACACTCAGCTTACTGTGCCCACCTCCACCTTTGAGTGGAAGCTTCCTGATGGACAAGCAGCAGCAAGCGGAGGAGCATCACAGCCCACACACCAATGACAGGAGAGTTATTTGAGAAAATCCCAAAGTTTACAGATGACACCACCATTATTGGTTGGTCCTGAACAATGACAAGTCCGCGTACAGACGAGAGGCGGACCAGCTGGTCCACTGCTGCAGTCAGAGCAACCTAGAGCTGAACCCAATCAAGACTGTGGAGATGACGGTGGATTTTGGACAGAAAACACCTCTGCTGATGCCACACATGCTGGATATAAACCGTTTAAACGGCTGCCTTCAGGCAGATGCTGCAAACCACTGTTTACTAAAACCAGCTGCCAGAGAGACAGTTTCTTTCCACAGGCTGTCGCTCTGATGAACACTGTGAAATAACCCACTGTCACATCAGCCATATATCCATATGCACATATGGATATTACACTCAATTTAGCACTTATAGTTTGTGCTGTGTGTGTGTATGTTAGAGTTTATCAAGACTTTCTGTAACTTGCTTTTTCTTAAGAAAAAACTTGCATGTAAAGAGTACAATGAATTAAAGTCAGATTCTTTGTTTGTCTGCACGAACTTGGCTGAATAAAAACTATTCACATCCTGATTATTCTATAAAGTTTCTGCAATCATGTGCACAAAATTTAGTTTTTTTTGTTTGTTTTTGTTATTGTCTTTTCCCCCTGTGTTGTTAAAAAAAGAAAGAAAGAAAAAAGGCTGGTCAATACCGAATGTGAACATAGACAGAAAGTGTCCCGTCAAGTTTGTGGCTGGGGCTTTCAGTCTACTAACGTTCACTTTAATCGGACCAGCCACGCTCTTAACTGTGTAACACGATTTATAAAAAGTGCCCTGCTGACATCTAAGTTTATATGCTGGTGTTTAATAATGACATTTATTTGGCTTTTAATACCGGATTCAAGCCACTTGCACAAACTGCCATCAGAGAGAACATTGTGTAAAACAGTCTTTCATCATTTTCTGTTTCTCTGACTCATTTTATAGCCGCATTGAATCACGGGTAAGCTATGCAAAACAGCTAGAACCTTAATGGATCGATAGGCTGGTTATCCATCCATCCATTTCCTCTCACTTTTCCTGCTTATGGGAGTGGGGCTGTAGCACACACAACCACAGACAAAGACACAAACATTTGTAGGCTACATGTTCATTGAACTATGCAATATGTGTAGTGGAATTGCCAGTGAGCCACACCTCCTAATACAGGTCATATCATGTGTGCCAGATAAACAGAAAGTAACTCTTTTCCCTCTTTTGTCTTATTTTTTAGGAGGATTAAGGGAAAGGTGCTTTTGTGTCTATATTGTGTCAATATTGCCAATTACAGATGCAGCATATACAGTGGGGCAAAAAAGTATTTAGTCAGCTCCTGCAGCCATGTGGTGTTGCTGGGGAATCAGTGGATGTCTGATGTCAGTTGGTGGTGAGTTAGTGGCACGAGGCCCGCTGATGTGACCGCAGCTACCCGTCCTACACTGTGGTCCCTCTGGGTCAGGTGCGTTGATGCTGTGTCTGTGAGATTTGTTCTGCCCCTCCCCTGAATCTGTGAGCAGTTGGTGTATGTCAAAGTTGGGGGTTGCCACTTCGGGAGCGTAGCCACCCATGTGAGATATATGTTTGCCATTAATATTATCGCTGGCTGGTGGCATCACAGGCGTCCCTTCACCACTAGCCAGATCTTTGGGGGGTGGTCTACCCTTATCCCGGTTAGTAATAACCAAGTCAATAGTGTCTTGTAAACATAACAACATGACCAAGCCCTCATCCTCTAGCTGTAGGAGTGTGGAGCTGTTCATATAAGCAGTGATGTACTCAATACAACCTTCCTCATCGTCCTTGTTTAGCCTTTCTGAGTCCAGTTCAGCCACCGGGTCAAGGTGAGTTGCAATGTCGTATGCTTCATCAGCCGTTAGCTGGTAGAGTTTCTTTTTGATGGACCAGCTGAGTCTTCTCCTCTCGTCGCCTGACATGACTTTTGTTGCAGCCTGGTGGCGTTACCGGTCCCACCCTCTTTAGCAACACTGTCACTTTGGGTCCAATGATCACTGGATCAGCCGGACGTGCTCCTCAGACGCCGCCGATCCCGGACGAGCCCCCAGAAATCTGTTACAGGCCCCACTATGATGGGCGCGTAGCCAGATTACGATCCTGTAAAACAGGAGAGAAAGTGAGCACAGGAGACACGCTGCCGTTCGCCTGGTCAGTCTTGCCAGAATGGAAAACTTACGGCAGCTATG